AATACAATTATTAAATATAAATTCACTGATCCCATTATGAGTGATGTGATAGATTTAACAAAGTCAATTTATGGTAAACCAAGATTTGCATCTACCAAAGTTATGATAAAATCTTATCTTCAACTTAAAATTATACACAGCTAAGTGTTTTTTTTTAAGTAGTTGAAAAATCATTGCCCTCAGAATTGTGAAAGAACAAAGATCTCAGGGAGAGCATGAGGGATGTTCAGTTTTGAAGTCCCATGGGGTGCCTGAAGGCCATCCAGGCAATGAATAAGAAGGGCTAACACATGAGCTCAACGCACAATTTAGCCACCAGCCGTGGCATTCATAGAGATGCCCTCCGTGGTCATTACCACCCTATGAAGCTGGTACTGCCACTACACCACTATATAAATGGAGACAGTGAAGCAGACGTTAGGGAGAGTCACCAATACCACACAGCTCTCCTGGAGAACAGAGTGTAATTTAAAGCCAGACAGCCTCGACCTTCAATAGTCTTTGCACATGATAGCATCTCTCGAGATACCTGGGCTGGAGACACTAATTAGGGAAAGGGATCATCTGTCTTTAGACAATAATGTATCTATGGAGCAGATCACACTGCCTAGGGAGAACACGTATTTATCCTCGGGAAAATGAGAACTTTAGCATTACACAGCCCTGTGAGGATGTTCCTGTCATCCTCTTAAAGAGAAACTTAGTCTTCCTGCGGCTTTCTTTCCCAGACACCCCTCATCTTCAGTCGTCACTCTCCCCTGGCCACTACACTGTTTATATGCTGCTTCTCACAAAGTCAGAGGGGTCCCTGAATAGATTTCCCTACTTCATCTTTGCCCTCTGGTCCCCTACCAGTACCAAAAGATGCCCCAGACAGGAAAGTCCGTGTGTAGTAAGTGTGACGATCTTTTTTCTTTTCCAATGTTATCAGTCATTATAGGTATTTTCCAAAATAGACAGCAGGTGAAACCTCACATACATTGCAAAATACATCATCTGGATGTAAAGTGGAGCGCCATTACCCATGGCAGAGTGCAGAGAGGAGCCTGCCTACTCATGCTCAGTGGACAAGATCATGTTCAACACTGGAATATCTGGAGGCAGCACTACATGCATGAGCCTCTGCAGCATTAGGACACAGGAAATCAAGGCTAAAATCCTGATGAGTGGCAACAGTTGGGGCTGAGGATATAGTTCAGTGGTAGAGTGCTTGCCTGTCACATATACGACCCACATATAAAACACAGTACCAAAAAAACAAACAAACAAGAAAGACAAACTCAATGTTTCATGGCTCAGGAAGAGTGATCATAAAGAATAATCAGCAGAAAGTCTGAGAGGAGAAAAACAAGGAATCTGTGCTGTCTGTCCTTACAACAAAATAAGATTTCGAGAAAGAATGAGTCACTGTTGTCAATGCCGCAGAAAGCTGAGGTTCTTTGTAAGGCCAAGAACATCTCTGGCAGCTTCAGAGCAAAAGATGTTTAAAAAACAAATTAACTATGAGAAGTTAGGGAACACATGAGATCTCAGAAGCTGCTTCTAAATTAGAGACGCTTGGGCATAACCCAGCACTACCAGGAAAGGGAGAGCAGAGAAGGGAGGTAAAGCTACCACAGGAGAGGGGAGAGAATTCAGGACAGAGGCACCGAGACTCTCCCCTGTGGCAGGAGAGGAAAAGATGGAGTTTGGGAATGGAGTGACCCAGGAAGTTATTTCCACTTTTCTTTATAGTTTGAGTGAAGCCAAGGATCAGTTCACTGAAAGAAGAGGAAACCCGTGTGTCACTCACGGTGAGCCGCATGCCTCATCTTTCCCTTCCTTAACTTCCGGAAGTCAGAGGACAGCAGGTCTAGAAGCATGATTCTCAGAGCCAGTTCCGATTCTGTGAGAAAAGTCCCAAGAATCTACGACCTCTGCCTCTAAAGGAGTCATTAGGAAAGGAGCCTCAGGCTGTAACACTGAGACACAACACGGTTAAAACTGCCACCATGAGAGCCAGGAGTGGTGTGGGGTGTCACATTCATCCTGGCTAACACTTCAATGTCATCATAGGCATCTTCAAATTTTCCAGGAATATGTAAGAATCTAGACTTTGTTTTGCCTCTTTCCTTCAGACGGTGCCCTTCTTCTTACTTTATAAAAGACAATGACCACTGCTTTCTCTCAGCCTCATCTCCACAGGAAAGGCCAATTATATGCTCAATGCCTCCTAATCTACAGAGATTGCTCATGAAAATCTGCTTTGGTCCCATGATACTCTAGAGAGTTCAGGGCAAAGGCACTTAATTTTCCAATTCCCGAGCAGGCTCCCACTATGGTTTGGACATAATTAACTACCAGCTAAATCCTCGGTGTGGCAGTATTTGGAGGTGACATAGAACCTTTAATAGTGGTGAATAGTTAGATTAATGAAGGAGTTGCCCCCTGGGGGGACGTGGTGTAGTTCTCCTGGGACCTTGGTTAGCTCTTTAGAGAAAGTCGTTATAAATGAGCAATCATGGTTTCTCCTTGTCTCTCTCACTTCTCCCGCCATGAGATCTCTTCCTCTCATAGATGCAGCCCTGTTATTTTATGTCATCCTCCATGAGGCCCTCACCAGATGAACAAATGCCAACATCATGCCTTCGAACTTGCAAACTTTTCTTGACTCATTACCCAGCTTCTGGTGTTTCATTATGGTAAAACAAAACAGACTAATACAGATATTAAGAGTTAAATGAACTGGGCATGGTGGCACACACCTTTAGTCCCAGCACTTAGGGAGGCAGAGGCAGGAGAATCTCTGAGAGAGTTAAATGAATTAAGAGACTTGACCATTTATTAGGAAGAGACACAGGATTGAAAGATATCTGTGACTCCCACAGCAGCTGTCCACTTTCCCACATCATACTCCACTTATAACAGTCTCTGAAACCCTAAGAGGTGGCCTGGTTCCTTCCATCCTCTGGTTATTTTCAAATTCTGAATATTTAAAGTGAAGAAGGCTGTGCTACAATTCTAACACTGTGCCTATTACCCACAGATCTCACTCTCCCTCTCCCACAGCAAGAACCCCACGCGCTTCTGAAGCGGCAACATTGCTCACACACACCAGGGACACACACGCAGCTATAATCACAAAGGAGCCCTGCTCATCTGCCATAGAGGGATAAGATAGCACTACCCAGGGAGCTTAGCAGTGCTGCAGGCTTCTGCCTGAGGTGAAAAATGGACACTAGAAAGTCTTACATGTCTACTGAGCAAGCAAGAATGAAATTCTGCTCCCTACATCCATGAGAACTGGTTTCCTGCTGCTGTGACAAATTGCTATAGACTTGAGGGCTTAAAACAATAGAAATGTATTATCTTCTAATTCTGGAGGCTATAAGTCCAAAATGAATTTGACTAGGATAAAATAAAAAATGCAGGCAGGCTGAATGCCTCCTGGAGGCGCTCTAGGGGAGCAGCCACTTCCTCACATCCTCCTCAGCCTCTGGAGGCCACCTGCATTCTCTGGCTCAAGGACCTCTTCTCGTAATGCACCACTCCAACCTCTGTTTCCATCGTTACCGCTCCTCCCTGACTGGCCAGCCTTCCTCTCTCACATATGAGGACACCTGTAATTGAATCACCATCAAAGAAGATAAGGTCTATGGAATTTTAGCAAGGCAGCCAATCTTTCCAGGCAAGGTCTGGCATCAATCAGGAAACTGCATTTGTCTTTGTTAAAAAAAAAAATATTACCAATAAAATATGAATGCAATTTGAAGGACCTTCCAAAGCCTCCAGTTTACTCAGTTCTACTCTAGCGGCCTGTGGTCTATATGGGACAGAATTCAGTGAATCTCTGAACATGCCTGTACCCTTTGAAAATGTGCATTAATACCCACTTGCCTTGTAGAATGTAGTTCTTTCTGTGAAGATCTACCCAACATGCCAATGTTTACCCCTATATTTTGTGAAATTCTCCTGTGAAATAGAATAGACTGTGAAACTAGCCAAAACAAACAAACAAACAAAACAAAAAAGTCATCATGTTCCACCAGCAACAGCATCTTACATTTCCTGCTTCTTCTCACCTTCTAGGGCCATCTTCTGTAACAACTTCACCGCCAAATGACCACAGAGGGCCAGCAGACCCGAAAGGAAAGGAAAAAAAAACCTTCATTTCAACACAGCTGCACAGGCTAAGAAAGAAATGGCCAGTCGGGGTGTTTCCAAGAAAAGCCTCCGAGCATTTTGCATAAGGGTTTTAGCTGAGGTTAAAATCTTTCTCAGACTAAATCAACAAATATCCTCTCATGCTTCAAAGTCACTTCCAGAGTCTTCCCAGTGTGGCAAGTGTCACAGAGACTCTACCCTCCGAGCAGACAGGACAGCATCCGGGGCTAACCTGTGGACAGCTGACATCAGAAGGAAACGGCAGACTGTCTCTCCTGCCCTCACTCCACCTGGCTGAAGAATGGAAACCTCCTCATTTTCCTCTATCACAGTCCAAGCCACTCTTAAAACTTGATAGGAGACATGTGCCTTCTCTTCACACATTTCCTTTCTTAAAAGGCAATAATGTCTGTCCCTTCCAGAGACTCTTTCCTCCCAACACAGTGAGACAGGGAACAGCACACATCAAGAGCCCTCCTACCAGACAGCGGCAAAGGTGAAGCCACATCAGCCATCTGCGAAAAGGCTGTCATGCAAAGGAGGGTGAGCCAGCAACCCTGCAGACTTTGTGAAAAGAAAGAAGTACATGGAAATTATCCTGGGAAAACAAGAGTGAAGCTTCCAAAGTCGTTTTCGGTTCCAAAGAACTGAACCACCTAGAATCACACCCAGAAAGGCAATCGAGCGAGCAAGAGAGAGAGAGAGAGAGAGACAGAGAGAGAGAGAGAGAGAGAGAGAGAGAGAGAGAGAGAGAGAGACAGAGACAGAGACAGAGAGACAGAGACAGAGAGAGGGAGAAAGAGAGAGAGAGAGAGATTTATAACAAGACAATGTTAACATAAAGTTGTTATACTCACTGTCTGATGGCTTCTGTCACAGTATCGCAGCCCAAAATAATCTATCTCCACAAGGTTTATGTGACGGAAAACATGGTCAAGGACAACGGAACCTTTTGTTGACTTCTGCAAAATAATCCACAGATTGCTTTTTAACAAGGTGTCGTGTCTTTCTCCAGGGGACACAATCATATTCTCCTCTCTTACGAGCTGTCCTCACGGGAACATTTGTATTAGACCACGCTACTCGCTCTAGGTTTTGCCTCAGTTACAAAGACAGATGTGCTATAAATTACAGTACATTAAAGAAATGGTCTTTAAAAAAATCCCCTTAAACTTTAGGAGCATTAAGTTAATATAAGACCCTTCTCTTATGGGATTACAAAGGATGAAATGTTTTTTTACTTTTAATTTTATGTGTGCAGGTGTTTTTTTCTGAATGTTTGTTTGTGCATTATGTGTGTGCCCAGTACCCACAGAAGCCAAAGAGAGGGCATCAGAGCTCCTGTAACTGGAATTATAGACAGTTGTGAGCCACCACATGAGTTCTGGGAATTGAACTTGGGTCCTCTGGAGGACCAGCCAATACGCTTAACCACCGTGCCATCTGTCCAGCCCTAAAATGTGTCTTTAAATAAAGATAACCCTCTATATAAATAACATTTAATAAATTCATTAAGCATCATGATAGCTAATATTCCCATAATCCTTTCATTTGAGAAGAGATTTCCCATATACACCAGTATTCTTGTTTTAATTTCTTTTATTTAAAAATTGTTTTTCATTTTACATACCAACCCTTGTTCCCCCTCCCTCTCCTTTTCCTGCTCCCCCCACCTCCCCCATCCCACTCCCATCCCCTCCTCATAGGAGTAAGGCCTCCCTTGGGTAGTCAACACAGGCTGGCATACCAAGTTGGGGCAGGACCAAGCCCCTCCCCCCTGCATCATGGCTGAGATACACCAGTACTTTTAAAAGTATCTAGAATAGAAAATCCATAAACTTAGAATAATAGCCAAAGCTTTTATTTTTTTCAACCCTCAAAGGCTAAATCCATAGATTAAAGCTGCTAACTACATGTTGCAAACCCTCATGAGGACATTTTACATGATCTCTTACACATGAGCACAGCCAGAAAACATTCATCTGGGTTGCATTTTAAGTGCTGACACCTATAGAAATACTCTACTCTGTCTTCTCCCAAAACACATGCACAGTATAAGTCAGGCCCTTACATAATGATCTGCAAATACAAGAAGCATGTAGGCAGCAAGCAGCATGCCACACTGGCCTTGACAATGATCTGTCAAGACAGCACAGGCACACGGAAGTCAGATCTTCCTTCTTCGGCCTCGTCATGGGCAGGAATAATTGGGCAGTGAAAGAAATCCCCAGTTCACTCACTGTTTCCTAGGGCTTTTGTTCATCTGCAGCTTCTCCTGGACAATTACCACCAGCTGCGTAATTATATCAGGTAAACTATATATACCACGGGGCTTTTAGAAAATAGATTATGATAAGAGTAATGAAATTACACACTTGGAAAAGATAGTCCTTCTGACAAATCCTCAAATCTCTAAATTACACTAGTTTAACTAAATTATTGCCCCCCTACCCCCAGGCTTCAAGGTCCACTAAACTGTCTACTTAAAGCCAAAAGCCCTTCCATGATGGACTTTACATTGCTGGGCCGCTTCTGCCTAATAACAATGGCCCATCCAGAAAAGGCTCTTGGTGCTCGTGTCTCTACGTATTTCTCTGCAATCAACATCTGGAAATGAAATCACTCAATGGAAGAATATCATACTTAAAACTAGAGTGGGTACTGCCAAGAAGACCATTATAATTATATTAATATGTAATTAATTATACAATCATCATTTGGTGAAAACGCATGCTCCCTCATCCTTGCCAAAACTTGGGTGGAGATGCGAGGTACTCGGCAAAGAGGAACTGTTTTTATTTACAGTTCCTCGACTATATTAAAAGCTAGTCCTCCTCCTTGTCCTCACCAGGCAGCTACATTCGCCAGCACAGGGGCTAGCTAGCCCTTAACTCGGTTATGAGCTGACCCTCTGAGGCTCTAAATACATACACAACTTTATCTAGTGAATTAACTCCTCACTCCATCTGGAAATTATTTTTTGTGCTTGGAATAAGGCCTAATTTTGTTTCCAAATGGATAAAAACTGTACCATGGTTTACTCAAAATCCATGATTTCTTTTAGGATTTGAAGTACCTTCACCTAAGGTCACAATTCTCTCCCAGAAATAGTCAAGGAACAATACTTCTAATTTTAATGAATTTAATATACTTTTCTTTCTACCCAAAATATTTTTTTCAAAATTGTCTTTGACAGTTCTTAGATATTTTTCTCTATGAGAAATTTAGAAGCACCTTGTAAACTTAACTTTAAAAATTTTAGCGGGCTGGACATGATGGAATACATCTTTATTCCCATCACTTAGTAGATAGAGACAGGTGGATCTCTGTGAGTTCAAGGCCAGCCTAGTCGACAAAGCAAGTTCCAGGCCAGCCAGGGCTACATAAGAGACTATGCCTCAAATCCCAAATAAATTAATCATGTTAGGAATTTGGGATTAAACTGACAGACTAGAGGACTAGACAGTGGAGGTGACAGAGTATTTACTAGGTAAAACCGATGTGGTTTTCTTTTACATGCTTTGTGCTGGCTAGTTTTATGTCAACTTCATACAAGCTACAGTCATCTGAGAAGAGGGAACCTCAATTGAGAAAACGCTTCCATAAGATCTGGCTTTAGGCATGCCTATAACACATTTTCTTAAGTAGTGATTGATGAGGAAGGGGCCAGCCCATTGTTGGTAGGGCCATCCCTGAGCTGGGTTCTGTTAAAAAAAAAAAAAAAAGCAGGCTGAGAAGACCTTGTGGAGCAAGCCAGTAAGCAACACAGCAACACTCCTGCTTCCAGGTTCCTGCCCCATTTGAGCTCCTATCCTGACTTCCTTAACAATGGACTACCATGTGGAAACATAAGGCAAATAAACTCATTCCTTCCCAACTCATTTTTGGTCATAGTGTTTATCATAACAATAGTGATATGAACTAGGACATGCTTGTACACATAATCTTATAAAATTTTACCTATGTTTTGTGGCAGGCAAAACTATAGAAATTCTCTTCCCAAGAAAAGATGTCCTGTCATCACCTCTGGAACCTCTCTACATCATGCCACCCCAGCCACTGTGTGTTAGGTGGTACAGAGACCATGAGACAAAGAAATTACCTACTGATGAGTCGGTGTACAAGGATGCAAAGCAGTTACTCTAGCAGATGAGAAAGATCCAAGCTTGAGGACTCAAGTGTCCTTGTTACTTGTGTAGGGTAAAAAGTTCAAGGTCACTTCCAAGTTTTAAAAACCCACCAACCCCTGAGCTCAAAAATCCCAGCAGTCCCCCAAGCACAGGACTTGAAATCCCACTAATCCTCAGCCTGGAAATTTCCACCCTTGGAAAACTCCACCTCCAAGAAACCCCATAGAAGCCCGTCTCCTGCTTAGTTCCTGGTTGCTTCTTGTCTGAGCAGAGGCAGCCACCCTCTTGTGTCTTTCCCTCACACACCTCTTGTGTGAGGTTTGTTGTACGGTGTGACTTTGTGGCAGTCCTTGGCTCCCAACTGCCAGGACACCTTTCCCCTCAGAGCTGTAGCACCTGCACTGAGGAAAAACCTTTCCTGTCAGAGCTGTGACACGACCTGAAAGATGGAGAAGACTGTCTGCGAAGCTGTGTGCTGACTGGATTTCAAATGACCGTAGGACCACCTGGGCATGTCTGGGAGCGTGTGGTCAGAAGGGTTAAATTGAGGAGCAAAGACTCACACGTTCAAGATCTGGGTCTCAAACTGAGTGAAGGGGAGAGGGTGGGCTGAGCATGAGCAGTCTGTCTGTCTGTCTGTCTGTCTGTCTCTCTCTCTCTCTCTCTCTCCTTCCAAACTGTCTTCACTTATTTTCTATTTCTGTGATTAAACACTGACCGAAAGGAGAGGTAAGGCTCTAACAGGCTTGCACGTTCTGATCACACTCCATCACTGAGGGAAGTCAAGGCAGGAACTAAAGCTGAGCTCACAGAGAAATGCTGCTTCCTGGCTTGCTCCGTGCTTTCCTAGTCACCCCACGACCCCCTGCCCAGGGACAGCACCACCACAGTCGGCTGGGCCTTCCACACCCACCATCAACCAAGAAAGTGCCCCCGCAGACTTGCGCACAGGCCAGTCTGATGGAGGCATCTCCTCAACTGAGGCTCCCTCTTCCCAGCGGGCTACAGCTTGTGTCAAGGTGACCAATCTTGACCAGCGCACTGACTAAGGATGTGATGTGACCAGCTGTCTCATGCATGCCTTTCCTGATGAGAGGGGCTGTATCTCTTCTGAGACCATGAGCCAAAGCGAGACCTTCCCATTTTCAGTTGCCTTTCTGGGCATTTTTTGTCACAATCACTAGAAAGGTAATATTCTACGTAAGCACCCTCAGGGAGCTGAAGCAGCTGCTAGCTGACAGCCAATAAGGAAAGAACCACCCCATAATCACAAAACTGGGGTTCTACCAACAGCCAAAAACAAACCAGGAGCAGAGTCTTCAGATAAGAGATTAGTACACGGGTACTGTGGTTGGTGATGCTGGACTCTGACCAGTACACGGGTACTGTGGTTGGTGATGCTGGACTCTGACCAGTACACGGGTACTGTGGTTGGTGATGCTGGACTCTGACCAGTACATGGATACCGTGGTTGGTGATGCTGGACTCTGACCAGTACACGGGTACTGTGGTTGGTGATGCTGGACTCTGACCAGTACATGGGTACCGTGGTTGGTGATGCTGGACTCTGACCAGTACACAGGTCCTGTGGTTGGTGATGCTGGACTCTGATCAGTACACGGGTACCATGGTTGGTGATGCTGGACTCTGACCTACAGCACTGGGAGGTAGTGAGTGACTATGAACTCAAGCCACCACACATGTAGCAGTCTGTTGTGCTGAAATAGAAAACTCGCACAGGCTTATTCTTAGGTCACTTATAGTTCTATTGCTGTTAGACTTTCTGATTGGTTATAGTTTGGTTTATGTCCTGAAGAGCAATTTATATGCTG